TTGAATTGATTTCAATATGATCTTTAACTCACATATGAATAATTCTTTCCATTCCTAAATTTTACTTTCTGTAATTGATTACTGTTTTTTTTATTTTATCAGTTTTAATTTCGAAAAAGAAAACATTTTAATATTTCTTATAGACTGCTAAAAAATATGAAATAAAAGTTGGCATTTTAAAATAGAACCATTCATCATTATACGGTAGTCGATGGATCTGTTAGCTATGAATTCAATTGATTTCAAATTTCAAAAATTCTCTGACAGTTGAAATTGTAGATATTTTTCGTAAATTACTAAACTCCCACTTGTCAATTCAATTTTGTTGAAAAAAAAGAAGTTTTTGTCTTGGAGTTAATTCTCTAAAGGCTAGTTTATTTTTAGCTAAAGAGAAAATGGAAATGTAAAAGAATGGAAATTTGCATTAACAGAGCTTTAAAAAAATCTACGTTCTTTTTCTATAAACCTGAACATTTCATTTTAAATGAAAGACGATTGTTTAAATTGACCGAATTCAATTTTTCAGATAGAAGTTGACAGATTTTATAACTTTAAATAAGTTTGCTTATTGTTTATTTTCTTCTTTCATTTACTTCCAAAAGAGAGAGAGAGAGAGAGAGAGAAGAAGACGAAGAAGAAATAATGAAAAGAACAAAAAAGACAGAAATCATTTAAAGCCTAAATTTGAATGAGAAGAAATAAATGGACAAGTTCGTTATAGACAAACTGTGAAGTAGAATTGTTGATTAAAATTTCGTTTTCAAAAAATTGCAAACAATACATTGTTATTTATCGCTATAATTTTTTCCACTTATATTATCTGCCCTTTTCTCTCTCTCCCCTTTTCTCTTTCTCTCTTTCCCTCTCTCTCATATATCTTTTCCATTATGATCTGATAATTAAGAATTGTTTAAAATATGTTTGGACTAGTTTTTTTTTTTTTTAGATAATATAGCATTTATTTTATCCGACGAAACAACAAAGCATCTGTCAGCATTTTTCATTTTATATTTTTCATCTTCTGCCCATATATTTCCATATTTCTCTCTTTCTCTCTTTTTCTCTTCATCTCTTCCGTCTTTTCTTTCCTTTTCTGGTTTGTATTTTCAAAGAATTTTCCAATTAAATATCACTAGGCAATTTTATATAATACAATCCAATCGGTTCATACATTTTCCATTTCTGATCTTTCGAAAGATCTATGAAATATACTTGTCTTAAATTGATCATTATTATAAATGATATGAAAGATCGATTGATTGAATAGGAAGGAATCTGTTCAAAATCAAAGTTTATTTAAAGTACATAAAAATGAAAAAAATGTTAAGTTGAAATTGAATTTCATAAAATAATTTTTCATTGCTAACATCCATCAAACCAGACTAAAGTGTCATATCGTTAACACAATGAAAAAAGAATAAAATGGAAGAGTGATTGTCCACCATTTTCGTATTATCATATTTCCAGCCTTTTCATACTTATCGTTATCACTAATTTAGCATCATCTAATGTTATCAATTATGCACCAAAATGCTTGAATCTTTTATTGATTAATAAATTTCAACAGGTACCAGTATGTTTTGAATTAAGAATTAATTTTATTTCTTATTTCCATTAAAACAATATCTAACAGTATTCATTAATATGCTTAATTCTGTTTAAATTAATTGTTACGAAAAGTGGGAAATGAAAAAGCTACGAATCGAAGGTTAATTTTAAGCCACTTGAAGTAACATAAGTTTTATAAGTTACTTCATTGTTGTTGCAAAAAAGAAACTTAAGTTTTAAGCATATTAAATTTCCGCCTGTAGTCACTTTGCGCAGCTTCGCTCATTCCTATCACTCCTTTATGAACAGCAAGGATCTATCGATACTCTGGTAACTATAATTAAATCATTTAATGATCCGCCTGACTGCCTTAATTACAAAGTTGTTTTTTTAAATCATTATTTAAATTTTGGTAACAACTATTTCATTTTAGGCTGTATTTCAAGAGATCATGATTTGATAAATATTATCATGAAAAGAATAATCAGATAAAATAAATTATGCCTCGTCATATATCATTTTTTAATAATTGCAAAATTTCTGAAGTTAAAACAAGTCTTGAGTGTTAAATGTTAAGAAGTTGATAAATTGCTTTCATTAATTTTGAATGATTGCCTTTTGTTTTTTGTTTCTTTGAGAGAGAAATTGCGTAAGTAATTAACTATTGGATACTTTTACAGTATACTTATTTAATTTTGCAAAATTTTCTGCCGTTTTTGTTGCACCAACGGAAGATAATTAATATATTATCAGAAATTTGATCTTTCTCGCCTATCAAACCTATCAAAGTGATGTAATTAGATTTGGATAAGCTTTGTCGTTGTTTATCGAAAGATTTCATGTTATGTCAAAGTTTACTTCTCTTTTTTTTGAATTTAATTATTTTGCAAATGAAATGTTTCTCTTTCGGACAGCGTTCATTTAATTGTTTAACATTGTTAAAAATTTATTTGATAAAGATAATTTAAAGAAATTGAAAAAGCAATAAAGTTTAAATGATTGCATAAGAAAAATCAAAAACAAAATTTATTTTTACAATAGTTATTTAAATAATTGAATAGGAAGAAAGAATTGAAAAATTTAAAATTTAAATTTGAACGGTTTAAAGAAATTCGAAGATTTAATTGTAATTTGAAAATTCATCCAATAAAATTTACTTTTCTATTTTTGCAATTTTTATTTAAAATCGAAAATGGAGAAAAACATAAGCGTGTGGAAATTAAATTTAATTAATTAATTTAATTTCTTTTTTTAATTTCTGATATATGGTTTGTACACCTTGCTGTTAATAATATGTCATAGACAATTAACATCATGAGAAATTGAGTTAATTTTATTAAACAATGATAAATTTTAATTAATTTCATTTTAAAAATTAATTTTTTACTATTTGTGTCAAAGATCAAAAAGTTTATCCACTGGCTAATTTTAATTTTCAAATTTAATTATTTGATCACAACATTTTATTATAGTAGAATTTAATACTTTTCAAAATAAATTTCTTCCTATCCGAAGTGTTTTCAATTATTTCTTTAACCGAATCCAAGCAATTGAAAAGGTACCTTTTCGTCTGTCAAAAAGGAAAAGGAATTTTAATTATGTGAAACTCATTTATTAAATGTACTAAACATTTTTGAAGCCAAATTAATTCAACTTGTGCTTTAAGAACGAAACCATCAAAATGTGCTTGCATTTAAATGAACACTAATGTATTGCTGTAACGTATTTAAGATTGAGAAAGAAAAAGAAAACTTAGAAACTGTCTATAAAGAATTGAAGGCACCGCTAGAATTTTATAAAATCAGCAAAGAAAATATATCTACCCATTTTTTTCTCTTCTCTTATTTTAGGTCATTGTATTTTAATATGATACGTTGCTTATCTGTCATCTATCAATTTCTTTTTTCAAAGCTAAATTTCCTCTTTATTCTTTCTTAATTCAATCATATTTCATTCCACTAATTAAGGCATTCAAATAGCATTGATTTTCATTTCATCGTAAATCTAATTATTTTTGTCTTAAGGCGTAAAAACAAAATGAGTGTTGAAAATGCTGTAACCATTCATAATATTCAACAAAAGCAAAAGGGAAAAAGAACCAATCTTTCCATCACTCTTTAAATGCTTTTTAAAATTTAATGGAAAAAAAGTAACTTTCTTTTTTAGTTCCTTTTTTTCGTTGAAAAAAATGAGAAATCTCAGCCATCTTTCCTTTCCGATACGCCTTTTTTCATCAAATTTCAACAAATTTTCGCCTATAAAAGGATGTCAGTCTTATTCATTTCCCTTTTTTTTTTTGTTTCTCTCAAATAGAATTTCTTAGACTTTATTGATACATTTAGTAAAAGCCCAAGTTAAAGCCTATTTTCATTTTTCAATTTTAGAATTCACTCGTTGCATTATTAAAATAGAAAGTTATTTCAACAGGAATTTTATATATCTTTCTTCTCCTCTATCAATTTGCATAATTTAGGAGTTTTGCAGAAAAAAAGAAGCTACAATATATTTACAGATGAATATCAGATTAAAGCTGATAATTGACAGATATATTTTCATTAGAACTAAAAAGGAGTTAAAATTGGAGTTAAAATATTTAAAATGAAAATAAAAATGTAAAATCATAGTTAAAGAGATGATGAAAATTGTGGGAGAACATGAAGACGACTGTATTTTAAAACCAAATTTAAAATTTATTGAATCTATGCTAGTGAATTTATCTTACAATTCACTAATCCAAATAATGATTATGATATAATGGCTAACGATTAATTGTTATCATTCAGTCGAATATGATAGTTAAAGAGATGATGAAAATTGTGGGAGAACATGAAGACGATTAAATGGGATCAATAATTTTTGAATTTCTGATAAGATTCTTATATTTCAATGAAAAAAAAAAAAAGATTAATTACTATTAAACGAATCACTGAATGAGTGAGAGAAATACCTCTAAATTTTTAGCGGATTTAAATTTTGTCGAGCACATGTTTTTTATTTATTAGTCTCCAAGGATTCCAAAAACATAATTAATGAAATTAACATAGAATAGATTGATTGAAAATTACTGGACGAAATTTGAATCCGCTAATAAAATTTAGCACATTTAATCACATTTAAATCAAAATGAATGAAACTAATAAATCATTTAATAACAATTTGGCTATCATAATCTTGTGACAATTTCTGGGAATAGGTTAAAGGATTAGAAAGTAATTATGGACTTTTTCTCATCCTAAAAACTTTGTAAATTAATTGTTAAATAGCCTGGCGTTACATTGTATGATGTAGTCTTCAAAATATACTTTTTCGGAGGTTAATTACTAATATAAAAATTAACGAATGCTTCTTTCTAATTGATAATTTACTTTTGGTTGTATTCATTTAATCTTGCAACTTAAACTTCTATCTTTTAAAACAATGAATGGATGAATTCATTTTACAGGATTCGTGGAATGATTATGGACAATTTGTCGGCGGTTGCATTGTTGCAACCGTCGACATCATGGGCATACAATGCTAATAAATTGGTCCAGATAGATGGTCTTGAATACAATCGGGCTACAACAATGGATGAGTGTATAAAAGCGCTTGAACGAAGCTCACTACCAATATTTCCAGGAAGTAGTAAGGATTTAAAACAATTTCTTTTTATGTGAAATACATATTTTCGATGATTGAATGATCGCTAGATCTAGAATTTTGATTTATTGAATATTTGAATAATGATTATAATTTCATATTAACAGGTGATGGTTCGTTATGGTGTAATGCAACATTCGATACAGTACTCTGTTGGCCAGCAGTACCAGCTAATAGCAGTATTACTGTTCGCTGTCCACCACTTAAGGGACTTGATCCTACAAGTTTGTTTGTTTTTCTCCTCTGCCTCTCTCCTTTTATAAATTTTATTTTTGGAATAGAATGCTAGATTATCATATTATGTGATATCAGTGATTTGATGAAAATAATTCTAGAGAATATTACCAAATGGTGTCATAGTTCGGGTCATTGGATGGGTCGATCAGAAGATGACTTCTCACGTCCTTATGGTTGGACAAATTTCACGATGTGTTTTACTGAAGAAGTTGTTGAAATGATGACTAAACTCACCAACGGATCTCTCGTTGTAAATTTTTCAAATCTAAATAAAATAAAAACAAAATTTTTTTATTACGACAATTCTATCCTTATCTTTTTTTATACGATCAATGTATATTATCTGTGTTAATTGTAGACAGCTCAAGAAGTAGCAAGAAATGCTCGTAAATTAGAATTTGTTGGTCTTGGCTTATCGCTCATTTCTTTGCTCATATCAATCGCTATTTTTTCTTACTTCAGGTTCTTATCTTTGCGCAATTTCAATATTAAAAAAAATTGTATTATCAGTTATAAATAAATTACTGTAAAACTTTTTTGCAAAACTTTTTCAGTTTTTATGTGTAGTGGAAATAATTTGAACTTACTAAATATGTAATTAAGATCCTTTCAGGAGGCTGCGGGTATTTAGGAATTTATTGCATTTACAATTGATGATCGCCATATTGATGGTTGTTATAATTCGCCTTACCCTTTACATCGATCTTATTTTCACTGATCGTCTTGGACCTCATCATCTGAATAATAATGATGGAAAAACTATAAATACTACGGTTTCTTTTTTAATTAATTTTTACTTTAAATTAAAGGTAAAAAGTTAGATGAAGAAGTAAAAGTGATTCTGGTTTCTTATTTACAAATTTAACAAATATTAAATACAACGTATCTCTCTATACGACAAATTTAACTCCTTTTTTGGAAAAGGAAAACATTATGTTCAAAATGTAATTTCCCATAATCTAATTCTACTACTATTTAAAATTACCTAACCATTCAATTACTACTATTTAAAATTACCTAATTAAATTCGCAGGTATTTTTATGCGAAGCGATGTTTTTCATGCTTGAATATTTCAAAACTGTTGCATTTTGTTGGATGTTCCTTGAAGGATTTTATTTGCATAATAAACTCGTCTTCACAGTATTTGCAGCTGAACTACGTCTTACACGTTATCTTATAGCTGGATATGGTAAGATAATACAGTTTAACCTTTACTATCGCTCTTGTTTTATTTCCACATATCTGTTTTGAAATTTTTTGAAAAGTTAAGATTTTTAAATTTTTGATTATAATTAATTGTTTAATTCGAGATTTAATAGGATTGCCACTGATACAAACGTTTCTATGGTTAGCAGTAATACTGATAAAAAAGCAAGGAAAAGTGGATCGATGTCTCGGATCATATTATCTTGAGCCAGAATTCTGGCTCTTGGATGGGCCAAGAATGTTTGAATTAGTTGTATGTCATTTATAAATTTTAGAATCGTTCAATACTACTCGTTTCTTTGAACTTTTTTTTTTAAATCAAACATTCTTAATATGAAGTATATATGATTATTCTTCAACCTGATATCATCAATCGGATATATTGAACAATAATGTATCGTGTCATTTGAAGAGAAATATAATGCGACTATTTTTAGGTAAATTTATTTTTCATATGCAATGTAATTCGAGTCTTATGGACAAAAGTACAGCAATCAGACAATACGAGTGAATTTGGTAGGATGAGGTGAGTTATTCACTTCTTATATAGCCATTAATGCTTATAATAATTCAAATTTCAAAATTAAAAATTTAGAAAAATATAGTTATTTAAAACAAAATAAAATCATGTCAGCGTTTTATATCAAAAAAAGCTAATAAATCGATTAGTTTTTGATTGCTAATTATCATGAAAACTGTTACCATTTAATTTAAAATAAATAAACAATCAGAAAGCATTTCTTTTATTCAACGAACTTTTTGATATTACTCTGATATTTAGGAAAGGCGTGAAAGCAGCACTGATGCTAATCCCACTATTAGGTATTCCGAATATTATGCAAACTATACCATTCTCGCCGACTAAGGATAATATTGTGGTAAGTTGATCATATCATATATCAAATAAGTTAGAGATAAGAAATGAATTGAATTTTTTTTATTACTAAAGGTTAGGTTATGGATTTGGGAAAGGATGGTAATGAAATTATTATTTTAATACTATTAAGAATAAAACTGAAACTTATGTTTTTTGGGATGAAAAAATGCAAAAATTGAAGTTCAAATGAATTATATGCAAAGATAAAACAATCAAACGTTAATTTTGATATGATACAGTGATAAGGTTTGGATGGAATTCATAAATAGTGCGATCGAAATTATGCACAATGCATCTTTCTTTTGTGAGATTTTAGAAGATGAATTATAATTTCAGTATTTTGCAATTTGGACATATTGTGCATCATTCACTTACATGTATCAGGGCTTCATGATTTCAATCATCTATTGTTTTACTAACAAAGAGGTACACTTTCAATTAAAATTATCGAATTTAAATTTATCATTGTTTCATTTCAGTTTTAATCATTAAAAGATATCGTATGAAAATTATCTCAGATGAGCAGAATTCTTAGCCAAATTTCATTATATTGGCTATAATAGACCAAATTAGCTCAAAAAATACAATTAATAACCAAAATATAAACTAAAAAAATGTGAAATGAATATTTTATCCAATGATCCAATGAAGTTATTGCCAGTATATCTTATTTTAGGTCAGAAGTGTATTGAAGGCCCATTATAGTAGGTTTAAACTGCAGCATACAAGCACTGTAAATTTACGTCGTGGTAGCAGGGCATATGTACTTCGAAATGGAAATTCCATAGGCGCATCTTTGCATAAACCCGAAAAAGACAAATTATTAAGGATACAAAATTGTTCAATCAAAAATGGAACTGAGCATGATCCAACTACATCAGTTCCCATCTCTACAGCTCAGGTTGATTGATATATGCTTAAAACAAAAAAAAATTTAGATAATCTTATTATGATCACTTATGACCATTATAGTTCCTATCATTATTACCATATAAACATTGCCATTATTTATTTCAGTCTGAAATGAATTTGAATTTGGATGAAAATGATCGTCGTGGTAGTGGTGAAGGATCGCCATCTACAAAACAGCCACAAAAAGGAAAATACAAAAAACAACAATTATTAAAGTTGCAATTCTTTGAGAGTATGATAGGTGCAAATACTGAAGATGATAATTCACAAGCAGCTAAAATGAATGATTAGCTAGTGATCAGTAAAGACAAGATTAATCTCTTGGTATGATTATTTACTGCCTTCATACATTTTCAATTTTTGAATCCTTACAAAAAAGAAATGGCTCAGAAATTCTTATTTCAATCGCTATATTATTCTTATAAAATTAATTTTGAGTTAAAAATTAATTTGGAAAATTCGAAAATTCCGAAAAAAAAGGCGAAAGTTTTGCATTTTGTTTTATTTACAAAATATGAAATCTCTCTGATAAATATAATCTTTCAGAATTAACAGAGAATAGAATGAACTTCGATGGATTGATTGTTAACTATCTGCAAAATGCAAAATAATATTTTATTAAGTTAGCATAAAGCAATTAGCTATTATTATCTCTTTCTTATCTGTTATGTTTCATGCATATTTTGATCAATTAAAATTTGAAATTAGATGAGTAGGGAATCGTTATTAATTCAGGAAAATCTATTTTATGTGTCATAAGCAATTTTTCAAATGCTTTTATTTAATAGTAAAATAATAATGCAAGAAGTATAAATATTACTGTACCAAAGAATAATTGTAATATCATTTGCAAATATCATTCTCATTTAGATGACATTTGTGTGTGTTTTAAATTTTGAACAAGCTTATGATTAGTATTTCGTAGCATTTTATTGTTGAACGCATTTATAATATTAAATGATCTCTAGAAATTAGCACTCATTTATCTGTCAAATGATTTCTTGTACAATTAGATATGTATGAACTGCTTTAAAATTAAAAATCATCACGCTATTTTCAAAGGTTAAATGACAATAAATCTTTTATTATGCCATTGTCCGTGTTGTTTATAATAATAATAATAATAATAATAAACAATAATAATAATAGTAATTAATAATGAAAAATAATTACGATATTAATAATTATTACTGTTTTTATAAAAGAATGTATAAAGGATAAACATTCTTCTGTAAGTTAGATTGAAATGAATGAATGAATTCGATAATACTAAAATAAACTTATTGTTTTATTTCTACTAATACTTAATCAAAATACTATCTGAAGTTAGGATAGGATTTTTAACAACTCAATGTTATCTCATTGATAAGTCATTAGAATGAAAGTAAAGGTGCGAATATTATTGATTCATCTTCATGATAAGTATGGTTGCAATCACTTCCGCTATTTGCTGAATCAATGATAATATTTGTTAAATAAGCTGTTATCAATAGGCTGTTACGAACAGCGTTATCAATGCAACGATAATATACGTGAACTATATGTGAACTTTTTCTGATCTTTCGGATATGATGTTATAATCATTATCGATTAATCTTTTGTAAATTCTGATATATGGACAATGTTAATGCAATCATCGGATTCTTACGAAATCTTTTGATTGTAAATAAAAATGAAACAGATTGTTTCTTGGATAAAAGGAAAATTGATAGAGTCAAGTTCAGAAGTTGTTGATCAGATAAGTTTTTTAATAATCATTCATTTTGATCAAAGGTGATTGATTTTTGACAAGTCTTCATTTATGTTATGTTGGTAAAAATGAACTTATTCAGAGGAATGATGTAGGCTATATTGGTAGTAAGTGTGATGAACTGGTTATTTGATTTGAAAAACTTTAATACAACAATTCAAGGCGCGGATTTATCAAACTATCGAAGCAGAGAGGTGAGTTTATTTACTTTTGTCTTTTGGCATTTTTTGTCGTACTGGAGTGTTGTAATAAAATTGAAATTCGGTACGCTCTTCTATCGTCTTCTTTTATCTTCAACTTTATCGAGCATCATAAACCATTGATTATTATTCATTGATTGATTAAGCAAACTGTAGAAATTCATATTTTTAAAAGAGCCGGCTACACTTATTATTTGAATTTCTTTAAGCATACATCGCTTAGACAGCTATTTTGAATTGGTAAAATATTTTTCTGCTTTGAAATTAAATTTGAAACAAGCTACTAATATTTGTATTGTTATTATTACCAAAGTAATAAGTCTTCTAAAGAATCTCTCTCGAACATGCCTAAAATTTTCATGATACTTAATATTGACTATAAAATATTATGGTTAAAATTCCTGCAATATTTCATAATTAATGATAATTTTATGACACTGAAAGATTGCTGGCATATTTACCTTTACTGTGATCTGTCGTTAACTTTTGCAATTAACTCTTGGCAACTTGAAATAGCTATTCAATGAATGTTCATTTTATCAGTTCCTCTAATTGATTATTAATTTTTGTTGAAATTTCACTAAGTTTTCCACAATAACTAACAAAAAAAGGAATGATATGAGGGATTAGTTAATAGAGGGATATGTTTATATTTTTTTTAATAGAGGGATATTATAATTTGTTTGTGATTGAAAAAAATAAACTTGAAAGTTATCGATTTTTATGCTTATTTTTCACTTACAATACAAAAGATATCGGTATATGATGTAAATAGAATAAGTACCATCCATGTCAACAATACCTTTATTTAAAAAAGTAATTGAAATAAAATTTAAAAATGAATCATAGGATGGATCCCTTTAATTTAGGCAATCAAATTAATTTTTCACTACCATCCTGCGCTTTCCTTTTATCAATTGAAAGAAATAAATAAATTTTATTTTTCATTCTCTCATTTTTCCCTTATTCAATGAAATCAATGGCCAATTGGAATATATTTGATGTGCGAAGGAAAAAACAATTTGATGGGTATTTTTATTGGATAAAATTTATGTGAAATTCAATCGACTGGAAGCATTTCGAAAGATACGTATCGTCCGATTTCCTTCAATATGTGTATGGAAGAAGTGAAATGAATAATATAAGAATTTGTTGAAATTAATTAAAATATTTCATATGATTGTTTTTATTTTTCTATTTTTAAATTTTAATTAAAATCACAAAGAAATGATTGAAATGTATTGCATCGTTGGAATTATTTAATTTTTGATTTAAAAAAAAGATAAATTGACAGATTTTATGAATTATTTTAGTTGCCACATTTTTTCCTCTCTTTTCTAACAGTAAGTAATTAAATAGAATTTGATATTAGAAATTTGTGATGAAATTTTCGAAAAATTTATTAACGAGAAAGTAGATTTTACTATTTGTAATAAGCAAATGTTGAAAACGAATAAATCAATACTTGAATTAATTAAACTTATCAAATGCATACAATGATTAATTAAATTTATCAGATATACATAGAAGGCACAATTGTTGCATATGGAATGGTGTAAAGAATGTTAAGGAAGAAGAAGAAAGGAGAGATGGATACATACATCATACCTTCTTCAATAAATTCATTTTCCTAACTATTCCGTTATAATATTTTTCTTGCATTCTTAAGTCATTGCGATATTAGCCTACTAATAGTGTAAGGCAGGCATATCTACGCAGAATTTCTGATTGAATGGTTGTTGATAATTAGTGCTTAAATGAATTGTACGATATAGATGTCCGGCATGTTTCAGCATTTCAGCATTTCGGCGTATAAATTTTCAGCATTTAACTAAAATTTAGATTTGTGTTTTAGAAAAATAAAAAATTCGGAACAGATATGATGATCGAAGATTCTAGTTGAGTTAATAAATGATTCCTTCTAATTTTAATTAATTTCAGGAGAGTTAATTTTCGAAGTAATGAATGAATGAAAAATCAGAAAGAAAATTGAAAATGGCGAATTTCCCTTCAATTTATATAATAACTTCGAAAGTTGTAATAAAAGAATTTGAAATATGAGAAAAGAGGAGAGAATATTAGATGTTAAGAGTAAAAGTTAAATCAGTTAGGGTTGAAGTGAGTTAATATTTCTTAACAAATAGATTTATTCGTATCATTTTGCAGTATTAATCAATGCTGAAAATATCAGTATAACTTTACAATCATTAACTTCCCTTTTCACAATTGAATGTTCGGCAATACTCACATTTCAATCAATTCAAATCCTTTTGAATGAATATGTTTCATTTTTTGGAATTCATAAATTACAGAATTAAAATAAAAATTTCATACTATAAATTAAGCAAAATGTTGATCCCTTCTTTCTATCTCTTTTTTTAAATTATATTACGATTTTATATTACGATTTTAATTTGCATTGGAATTAATTTTTCAAAGAATATTGAAACCAAAATTAATCTTTCACTTTAATTTAAAAGTAGAAAAAATGGAATTTTTACCCTAAAATTTAAGCTATTTAACAATACTTCTTAAATAATGACAAAAATCATTGGTATCAGTGAAAGGGTAAGAACTGGCTGTTACAAATATAACTTCTATTCCACAAATTTCGACATAAGAAAAAAAATATACATTTGTAAATAATTAATTTCAAATGGAGAACTAATGGATTTAATTTTAAAACAATTAAATTGTAAAATCACTCTCTTTCTCTCTTTCTCTCACTTCACAATTTTATGCACATCCGTGAAGTTTGAACAATTTGAATGCCACTTTTGCATGACTTAATAATTGTAAATGAAATTGAATAGCGTCTAATGGGGGAAAGATGAGAACGTTAAGTAAATATCATGTTGTTAAGTAAAATATCATCTTGCAAGTGTCATTTAGAAAATATTCAAAATAAGATTGATCGTTAAATTAAATTGAAATTTAAAAGTGCTACCTAAACAATTAATACGTTTACTTACAAATAATTATTTTCTTATTTGTTATGAATTCATTTCGAAGTGTTCATTTTAATAACATTATATAGTTAGCTTTTGTTCTTCGATATTCATTCAAACTATTAATATCGCAGCTGATAAAGCAAATCATTATAAAATTTTGATAGCTGTTCCCTTACTGCTGATATTTTACAAGCTTGTTTTGTTAAAATTTGTTAACTATTAATCATTGCTCACTACTCATTTACATATACTCTTCGTCATTATTGAAGAAATATATTTCCAACGTTATACATCGACACTTATTCCTTTCCTCACTCTCTCTAAACTACATTTCGTTTTTTTAAAAATAAACTTAACGTTTCATAAATATTTGCTTTCTTTTTTTTCTTG